TTGCCCAGTAATGTACCAGACAGTGTTTCTCTGCTATTCATAAGGTTTTCCCTGGCCAGTTTTTGAGAAGTGGATGGCCTCCTCCTTCTTCCTAGTCTGTCTTAGTCTGTAAGCTGCATTGAAACCTGTGCACCATGTGCAACTCTGCTGGCGTCTGAAACACCAGTGGCACAGCCTCAGGCCTCACAGCAACATACAAGCCCCACAGAATGACACACTGACAGACAAGTTTGTCTCCTTTCACTGTTGGAAACCTCTGCACCCTCCCCTTATCTAATTCCTACCTGGAACCTGCCACTTTGTGGTCCCGGGCTGCTCCTGCTCCCTCTCTTTCCTGGCTCTAGGGGGCTTGGAAGTATCTATGGAAGTAGATTGCCCCATCTTCCTTCTGAGGAGTAGCTGGTGGGTTTAAACTGCCAGCCTTCTGGTTAGCAATCAAATGCCTTAGGCACTACACCACTAGAGCTCCTATTCAATGAATAGTGTTTTATAATATGGGACGTTATTTAACTGGCCCCCTAGTGGTCACCATTTATGGCTATTTCCAGTTTGTTTTAAAAGGCTCAAAAACCAAAAAAAAAAAAAAGAAACTTATTGTCATTTAGTTGATTCAACTCATTGCAACCCTTCCTTGGTTTTCTGAGGTGGTATCACTACAGTAATAGATCATCCAATGTTCCTTCCGAGGAGTGGCTGGTGGGTTTGAACCATAAGCTTTCTGGTTAGCAGCCAAATGCCTTAAACACTACACTACCAGAGCTCCCTAAAGGGCTCAACAAGCAAAAAATAACCACTATTGCCCATCAGCACTGTGCTCCTTCAAAAAATTCCCTCTGAAAGAGATGCAAATGTGAGGGGACAGGGAAACTAGATGAACAGAAACAGAACAACCAGAGTGGAAACAATGAGCATGTTCCGGCATGGTGAAGAACATAATCAACATCACTGAACAACTTGTGTAGGGATTGTTGAGTGGGAACCAAAACTCCTGTGTAAACCTTCACCAAAAATACCATAAAATACTACGGAAACAGAAAAGATTCAACAGGTTGTGGAGTTGTTGAAAACTGAGGCACAGGAAGGGGCTCAGGGTCCTGCCTGCTGGGCTGTGGTCCGACCCCTCAGAGTAGGCGAGATGTG